CACCTATAATAGTGACTGGAGAGGTTGATGCAGGAGTATTGCAAGTGAGACCTCATCTCAAAAAATAAAAAGAGGCCAGGTGTGGTGGCATACACCTGTAATTCCAATAACACAGGAGGCTGAAGCAGGAGGATTCCAAGTTCAAGGCCAGTCTCAGTAATTTAGTGAGACCAGCTCAAAATAACAAGTAAAAAGGGCTGGAGATGTAGCTCAGTGGTAAAGTGGCCCTGGTTAGATCCCCAGTACCAAAACAATAAAAATAAAAAATAAAGAGGGCTGAGGATATAACTTAGTAGTAGAGCCCTTCTAAGTTCTATAACCAGTCTCTCCCACCCCAGACACCCCAAAAGGCTTGATCCTTTCTTACAGTTGGAAAAATTACTCACATAGGGTGAGATGAGAAAAGAGGGCCAAGAATGGACTCCCAAGAAACTCAGTATTAAAAGTCAGCAAATCTTGGTGCAGTGGCCCATGCCTGTGATCATAGTTACTTGGGAAGCTGGGGCAGGAGGGGATAACAAGGAGGCCAGCCTGAGTAATTTAGCAAGACCTTGTCTTTAAAAAAAAAAATCTGGGGATGTGGCTTGGTGGTAGAGTGTTCCTGGGTTCAATCCCTAGCACTGCAAAATAAATAGGTTTAAAAAAATAGCAAGATGTGGTGACGTATGCCTGTAATCCCAGTTACTGGGGAGGTTGAGGCAGGAGAATCACAAGTTCTGGGCCAGCCTTACCAAATCTGTCTCAAAACATCAATAGCAAACAACTTAGAGAATGTAGCTCAGGGGTAAAAGGCCATGGATTCAATGCTCAGTACCATGATACTGATGATGATGATAATGATAAAGCTAAATAAAATAAAGTCAGTTAGCAAAGAAGACAGAGGTGAGCCCCTGTGCAATCCCAAATGTAAGAAAACCAAGAAAGGACAACATGAAGGAGGCAAAGGAAAAGGAGTGTATTCAGAGAGTGTGGTCAGTTATATCAATGTTGCTACAAGGTCAAGAAAGACAAAACATCCATTGGACTTAGCTCAGAGTGCCACCTTGGAGAAGCAGTTTCTGAAGGGGTGTGTGGTGTGTGTTTTTATTAGATTATAAGTCTTGGATTGGAACAAAGTTCCCCATTCATTTAGTTTAATTAATGTTATTTCATTGTGATAATAAGATGATCTGCATACTACTGAATATCATAAAGGCCAAAATGTTTTTCTCTTTTATGTCACTCCCTTTCATATTCATTCTTACAATTGATAGAAGAATGTTCTTCTAAGTGAAGTATGATTTAATACTCAAACTTTGGTTGTTTTAGATAATAAAAAACTATATCTATTTATCCTTTTATGCATATCAGCAAGCATTTATGATAGCACACACCTGTATTCAAAGTGATTTGGGAGGATTGCTAGAGTTCAGGAGTTATAGATCAGCTTGGGCAACATAATGAGCTCTTGCCTCAAGACAAAACACAACAAAACAAAAAGCATATATAGAGCAATCACCAACTACCTAGACTTATAAGCTCTGTGCTAAGGGTATAAGTAGGGAAGGAAGAAGAAGGAAGGAAGCCCAGAAAGATGTGTTTGGCCCATATATATCTTGGTGAGTTAACTCTGCAAATTATTTTACAAACTTTTTTTTTTTTTTTTGTACTGGGGATTGAACTCACAGGCACTCAACCACTGAGCCACATCCCCAGCCTATTTTGTATTTTATTTAGACTTAGGGTCTCACTGAGTTGTTTAGCATCTTGCTTTTGCTGAGGCTGGCTTTGAACTTGGGATCCTCCTGTCTCAGCCTCCTGAGCTGCTGTGATTACAGGCATGTGCCACTGTGCCTTGCAGACTTTAATCACTGCTCAAAAGGGTTTTATAATTAAATTATGTGACCTGAAAACAATTTCAGAAAGTGAGCAGGCATGGAAACACATTCCTGTAATCCTAACAACTTGGGAGGTTGAGGCACAAGGATTGCAAGTTAAGGCTAGCATTGACAATTCATCGAGACCCTGTCTCAAAACAAAAATGGCTTGGCACATAGCTCAGTGGTAGAACACCCTTGGGTTCAGTCCCTGGTACCACACACACACACACACAAAATTTCTTTTTTAGAAAGTTCCTCCTTCTTGGGTAGATAAAAATCAGGATTTCAGTAGAGAAGGGCTTTTGTCTTTTTGAAGGTCCCTCCCTAATTTGTTTTCTTGGTTTATATTAATACTTTGGTATATATGTTGGAATTATCTTCTTTCTTTTAATTTTAAATTAGGGTGCTTATTTTAGGAAAGGAAGAACAGAGATTAGTTCATTTTCATATACAATAAAAACTTCATTAAGTATGGGCAGTGCTAATTATTTATCATTTATCAAGGGTTAGGACCAAAGCTTATCTTTCTCCATTGCATGCATTATTAGTAGACCAGCACTTGGATTCAGGTGGATTAATAGAGGTTCAAGTAAACCATTTCAAGCACATCTGAATAACTTATAAATTTCTGCTTTAGTGATACAGTATTGACATATTAATTTCAAATAATTTTAAAAACATGTTTCTTAAAGTTAGGATTTTATGAGGATACTTTTTTTTCTTTGTGTTGAGAACTTGTAAATGTACTAGAAATTTGATAGGCTAGCAGAGTCTTCAGAAATAAGATTAACCTTGAGTTGATTCTCCAAGACTCTGGAATGCAAGGTGAGTCCAATACCTTGTCAAAAGTGAGGATGGGAAAGGGGGCTGGGGTTGTATCTCAGCGATAGAGCACTCCCCTAGCACATGCAGGGCCCTGGTTTCAATCCTCAGCATCACATAAAAATAAATAAATAAATAAGTAAAATAAAGATATTGTGTCCAACTACAATTGAAAAATATATATTAAAAAAAAAGTGAGGATCCCCCTCTCCCCGCTGGGAATTGAACCCAGGGCATTGTACTACCACTGAACTACACCAGCTCTTTTAATTTATTTTTAAAATTTTGAGACAGGGTCTTGCTAAATTCCTAAATTGCTGAGGCCTGTGATCATCCTCCCTCAGCCTGTGGGATCACTGGGATTCTAGGTGTCACTTCTGTTCCCCGTTACAAGTGAGGAGGGAATGTCTTTCCTTCCTTCCTTCCCCCCTTCCCCCCTCCTTCCCTCCCTCCTTCCCTCCCTCCCTTCTTTCCTCCCTCCCTTCCTTCCTTCCTTTCTCCCTCCCTCCCTCCCTTCCTTCTTCCTTCTTCCTCATGGTGGTGGAGGGGATTGAACCCAGGGGCATTTTACCACTGAGCTACATCTCAGCCCTTTTATTTGGACAGGGTTCTCAGAATTGTTGAAGGTCTCATTAAGTTGCTGACATTGGCATTGTGAGCCTCCTATCTCAGCCTTCCCAGTCTCTGGGATTACAGGCATGTGCCACATACATTTACAGGTGACACTTCTTTAGGAAGACAGAGGAAGAGGAAAAAAAAAAAGGAAATATAAGCTTATAAATTATGGTCACAGCAGTAATAAGTAAGTGTTTAGTTATTTTACAGAGAGCTTTTGGCACATTCATTCAGAATGATTCTTCTTTGATTTGTTAGGTTCCCCCCCTCCCGTCCCCCACAGTGATAGAGTGGAACAGTATACTGGCCTGTAATCCTAGCAGCTAAGGAGGCTGAGAAGGTAGAATCACAAGTTTGAGGACACCCTCAGCAATTTAACAAATCCCTAAGTGCCTTAGTGAAACTCTGTCTCAAAATAATAAATAAATAAATAAATAAATAAATAAATAAATAAATAAATAAATAAATAAATAAATAATTGGGGGGATCAACACACCAAGACCCTGAATACAGGTGCCAAGGTGACCCAGGTACAGGAAGCTGCTGGGACCAGTGGCAGGGGTTAGGGCAAGAATGAAACAGTTATGTGCCAAGGCCTTTATCTCATTTAATTTCTTCAAACAATGCTTGAAAGTAATATTTTGCCCCATTTTACAGATGAAGAAACCAAGGCATGTATCACTGAAGAGGTGATTAGGTGTTTTTCTGAAGGTCACATAGCTGGGAAGCAAAAAAACTGGAATTTTTTTTTTTTTTAAAAAAGGTCTTAGGCTGTAGCTCAGTGGTAAAGCACCCCTGGGTTCAGTTCCCAGTACCAAAACAAAACAAACAGGAAAGAAAAATATTAGAGGCAAAGACTACTAAATGGGGCAAATTAATGGTCTGTGGTAATACTTGAGTTCTAATTGGTGAAGAAGGAAAATAAAAAATTAAGACAGTTAAAATGATGTTTAACATTTTCAGCTCCATGTTCAATCAGCATAGTCATCAGCTGACATTTACTCTGAACCCCCTGGGTGAATGGCACTAAACCAGATTCCACAAGAAATATTATCTTCTGCCTATGTGAGCAAATCAGCTGTTGAACTATTGCTCTTATAAGCTATAGATTATAACAATTGATGTTAATATATTGTGAGATTTCAGCCTTAGAATCATGAAGTTAAAATACAAAAAAATACCAAAAATTTTTATCAGAAACTACCTACTTTTTGTACTGAATAAAGAAGTCACTATCCTATGAAGTGAAATACTAATCATGCCAAGTTATTAATATTTCAACAAATATTATTTTAGTATGAAAGGGTTGAATTTTATTTGATTAATCATTGTATGAATAATGCAAGGTAAGCTTTCATTTTGACAAGTAAAAATAAGGAGTTGAGTTGATTTAGAGCACATTATGTAAAATCTTAAAATAAGTGGTGCCTGCCTTGAAAATTCAAAAGAAATTTTGGTGGCTGTCAAAAATTTGTTATTAAAACCTATTTTTACCTGACCTCTGAGGTTAATATCACATTTTGTATTAAGATGCTTTTCATTCCATATTAAAAATGTTTCCTTTAAATATGATTAGATTTTAAGTATTCACCATTCCCCATCCCCCACACCCTTGTTTATTCCTCCTCACCCCAATCTCTTTTACTCTGGTAGGGTGCCTATTGCTGGCTACCCAGTCATTAATATTCTAATACCATTTAAGGTAGCTCTGCCGGGTATATTTATTTTGAATCCTACAATCCAGTTTCTCTTTTAACCTGGCTTCCTAAATCAAGTTGATAAACCAGTTTATTTTTCTTCCTCTTCATTTCAACAACTCATGATTTAGATTGGCTAGGAGGATATATGTAATCCGGGAACAACCTCTCTCCCTTGCAATCTGTATTTTAGAGGCTTCCTCCTTTCCTTGCTGAACGTGCTGAAGTCAGGCAGAGTACCTTGTGAAGGACTTCAGCCCCCACAGTTCCCTGTGTGCGCATGCCCTCTCTTCTTACAGTTGTCAAAGTGCTTTTGCCAGAGCGGTCACATAATCAACCTGAAAGAAGAAAATAAATACCGTATACTTTAAAATTTTATCGATCCTTAAAAACTGGACACTCAAAGGTAACTGCTACTACAAATTTGTTTCTTGAAATTGGGTTAATGCATGTAAAAGCCGATCTATTGTGTGTGTGGTGGGGGAGGGGAAGGAGGTATCTATTTCTCAGACTTTGCTGTAAATAAGCAAAATAAACTCCAAATCAAACAAACTATACAGGCAGTTATTGAGAGACATTGCATGTTAACTTTGTAAATTTCATCTTAATCTACCTTTTGTTTAAAGGGTCTTATTTATTAAAGGTGGGTCTTGACCTTGACAGAGTGAATTTATGCAGAAAGTGAAATTTTTATCTTTAAGGAGTGTTGAGAAATGTATTCCTGGTATAACATTTCAAAAATTCAATGAATATATTAATATTAATTACAGCCATTATGAAATATTTTTATTCCAGTTTATTTCTTTGCCTTTTTTTGCTATAATACAGCATTAATTTTTTCATTGATAGCATGTAGTTTAAACTGAAGGTATTAACAAAAAGCATTGGATCCAGAAAACCTGGATGATACTGAAACTATAATCAATGTGTATGATATGGCTATTATAAAGGCAGTTCTAGCTCACTGGAAGCAGCTCAAAAACCAGAATTATAATGATTTACTGCAGCATTGTTTAAACCAAGTATGAAAATGTCTCCTTCTATGACCATCTTCTTTGGCAGTGATAGAACTTTGTGCTGTCTGAATCTAAGGTTCAATTGCCTCTTTGTGTTGTATTTTACAATACTGATCAAAACCATTATTTTAGACCAAGAGAAGCGAGGAACATAAAAGCAATTTTAAGTAGGTTTTATTGGTATTATCTGGCAAAATGTGATGTATGGTATATTGATTGGGATTCTTTTTAGGGGAAGGGGAGAAGCAGGGATTTAGAAGTAGAAAGAAGAATCAGGTGGCTGTGAAGCATTTGCTTTTGCCCACTTTTTTTGTGTATGAAACTTTGACATGAAATACCAATTAAGCATTTTTGATGTCTTTAATAAAATAGTGGAGCTACTTTTAATGTAATTTCTCAGTTGGACATCTTTTACTTAATAGTTGAGTAGTAATATCTCCATTTTATAGTAGTTATTAGTCATTAGGATATCCAAAGGCAGCTTCTATGTGTATCAAAATGCCCTTTTACAAATGTCCTAAGAAAGATGTTCTCCAGTACATGTTAATTAAGTAACTATATTAAATATATTAATAACTTTGTTGCAATTGTACTGAATCATCATCTAAAAATAATGATATGTTTGGTCATATGCTCCTTTAACATTTCAAAATATTTGTTTGCACAGTCTCATCCCTGTAATATTTGTATATTTAAAGTAATTAACATTCAAGGAACAAGCTAACTCAATGGTAACTACATGTATGGAAATCTCTTGGTTTTGAGCAATTACTATTTTCATCCTTGAATAAGAAAACAGGCTGTATGACAGAGGTGAATATAATTCTATCCGAAATGGAAAATACCATACACTCCTTATATGGCTAAATGAAGCAGCGGTGGCAATGCACTATAATTACAATGTATGAGAATTTGGGACTTTGTACTCCTCTATTTTTAACACTTTTGCTAGAATATGGTAATTCAGGGTCATCAAACCATAGTCTTCCACTGCTAATACTAGAGATAAGAGAATAGATTCTAAATTTGCCAATCTTGTGACCAAGGAGGCAGCAGGAGGATTCAAAAATGAAATCTAGCAACCCAGAATTATCTTGACTGTCTACTTAAATCTCAGACGGATTTTTAAAGCCCCGCCCCCAGTCCATCTCACAGTCGCCCTCCCTCTCCACCTCCCCCCCCTCCCCCGCCTCCCCATGCTCTCTCCCTCTCTCTCTGACCTCAAATCCAACTAGAAGCATTTCTCCACTCTGCAGAGAAATTCTCAGGCTCCTGTTGAGACCTGAAGCACTGAGAAGCCAGGAAATCCTCTTGTGCGGCAGAATTGGAAACAAGAAAATTGGAGATTAAGCAGAAAAACCATAATCCTTAGAGTAACAAGAAGAAAGCACTTCCAAACGTTTCAGTAGGTTTCACCTTTTTAAAAGCGGTGATATAATATATATGTGTGTATATATATTATTTTTATAAAATGTCTCCCAACAAAATGGAGTAGCTGCCGCTACTGCGAGGCCAGAGAATGATTGTGCAGCTGAGTCCTTCTAACAAATGCCAAGGATTTCCTCCCTCGTGCTGGTTCGCTGTAGCTAAATGAAACAATTATCGAGGCAAGAAAGCACTTTGTTAATCAAGAGGTTTAAGACGGCCGTTTTCTTTAAAGTGCTGGAGCTGAGGAAGGGAGAAGAAAGGGTCGTGTGTGGTGTCTTTTTAACCTTGCTGAAGGACGCAGCAGTATTTATTGACGTATGCAAATAACTGGGGGAGGGTGGTGCTTGGGAAAAAACAGGAACCAGAATCAGTTTCTCATTGCAGGGTGAACGCTCTGAGTTCCGGTAAAGGGAAAAGAGACGTGGCGAAATTGCTGTCTTTCTGTCTTATAAGCACATCTCTCACTAATACAGAAAAGGAACCAAGACATCAGAAAGGGTGAAGACGCTCTCACAGTATTTTTAGAGACTTTGCTTGTGTTCCCTCTCCCCAGCCCGACCTGTTAAATGGGAGATTATGGATTTGCTTGCAATTGGCTAATAGCGGTGGCACTGGATTTTCTCAAGTAAAACACCGCCCGCTTTAGCGAGGGGCATTAAGGATCACTTTGACAATAACGCATCTCTCTTTTTTTTTCCCGTTTCAGCTGCGCAAACCATGCAGGATGATTTACTGATGGACAAAAGCAAAACCCAGCCCCAGCCCCAGCAGCAGCGGCAGCAGCAGCAGCAGCCCCAGCCCGAGCCCAGCGTAGCCGAAGCCCCGTCCACGCCCCTCTCCTCAGAGACCCCCAAACCGGAGGACAGTAGCGCAGTGCCGGCCCTTAGCCCCGCCGCGGCCCCGCCGGCCCCCAACGGCCCGGACAAGATGCAGATGGAATCGCCGCTCCTGCCGGGCTTGAGTTTCCATCAGCCCCCACAGCAGCCGCCGCCGCCGCCGCAGGAGCCCACCGCGCCGGGCGCGTCGCTGTCGCCGTCGTTCGGCAGCACCTGGTCCACCGGCACCACGAACGCGGTGGAGGACAGCTTCTTCCAGGGGATCACCCCAGTCAACGGGACCATGCTCTTCCAGAACTTCCCGCACCATGTCAACCCAGTCTTCGGAGGCACTTTCTCCCCGCAGATCGGCCTGGCGCAGACCCAGCACCACCAGCAGCCGCCGCCGCCAGCACCGCAGCCAGCGCAGCCGGCGCAGCCACCCCAGGCGCAGCCCCCGCAGCAGCGCCGGTCGCCCGCCAGCCCTAGCCAGGCGCCCTACGCGCAGAGAAGCGCTGCCGCGGCTTACGGCCACCAGCCCATCATGACCAGCAAGCCGTCTTCGTCTTCTGCCGCTGCGGCCGCCAAAGCGTGAACGCCGCCTGGAGCGCACCGTCCAACCCGTGGGGTGGCCTGCAGGCAGGCCGGGACCCTCGCCGAGCGGTTGGCGTAGGCGTGGGCGTGGGCGTAGGGGTACCCTCCCCACTAAACCCCATCTCGCCGCTCAAAAAACCCTTCTCCAGCAATGTGATCGCGCCTCCCAAGTTCCCTCGTGCGGCTCCGCTCACCTCCAAGTCTTGGATGGAGGATAACGCTTTCCGGACCGATAATGGTAACAATCTGTTACCATTTCAGGTAATGCTCGGGTGCACCTGCACCCGTTTTACCACTACCTTTCTTCTTCCTCCTTCTCTGCCTTTTAGTCGCCCCACCCGTTTTTACTTAAAAAGGGCAGCAATGTCCAGCTCCCGCCAAAGCCTCCTATTAACTGGAGCTGTTCTGCTCCCCAGGAGCGGGGATTGGGGGAGATGAGGTGGAGGGAACATTGTGTCTGCTCCGGGAATTGTGTATGTGCCTGTTGGAATAGAAAAGAACCTTTTTCTTATAGTTTATTTTCTCTTTCACTGTGATTATGCTTCTCATTTGACCTCCTTTGACAAAGCTGCAAGTGTATGGCAAGGTGCCGGCATAGTCCCAGGATGAGTAGGCTGAGATTCCTATCATTTTAAGTGGCTACACATTTCAGGTTATGCAATCTAGGCTCAGGGTGCTGCCTGAAAGCCATCCACACCCAAACCACTCTGGCCTTACTCTTAAAGAGGTTAACAACTCTTTAGTGGTGCTATTTCAGATAGTTGCATATGCGCAATTAAACTAATGTGAACACATGTGTTTATGTCTCACTGTGGTGTGGGAATCATTAATAACAATCGGCATATTTCCCCTGCTGGGAAAATTATGAGTGTGAGATTCCAATAAACACCAAGAACTATATCCAGACTGAGGTGGAAGAATATGCGAATATGGACAAATATTCGCATGTTACCTAGAAGGATTTAGAATTTTTTTCCTTTGCAAAGGAGACAATAGGACACGACCTTCAGAGCCATATTGCAATGGAGTCTATTTGCTAGCTAGCACTGAAATATTTAAAGCTGCAGTGTCCTTCACCAGTTGGGTTATTTAAGAAGACAATGCAGATCAATTACACTATTTGAAACAGCAAAGTGAAAGTCTTGCAATTTTAATGAAAAATGAGTCTTGTATCTTGATATTAAATGCTAATGAAAAAATCTAGGAAGTGCTCCAGACAAAAAGGTTCAATGGAGAGTGTCCTTATTTCTGTTCTTGCTTCTGATCCAGTTCACAGCCACAGCAGTTGGCAGTATCCTGGACATCTTGGGTCAGAAAGGGGTACTGAGGGGGAAGGTGTGTATTCACCGGGGGCATATGCTCTCAGACACTTACCCTTCACTTATGAATTGATTTGTTTGTAGGCTTTTAGGCTCAGTTTTAAAAGAAAGAGAAATGGAGCTAGGATCAGATTGGGCCCAATTTCAGTGGTCAGAGAAATGAAATGGAAATCCTTTGACCCATGCTGAAAGATGACAGAACTGACAATTTGACAGAAATGAGGTGTTATGTACTCTTCATTTTGTTGCTCTTTACATTTCAGATGTTTAGGGTGGGTCCCTTTCATGAAGGAGGAGATAGAATTATTGATTACACCCCTCTCTAGGCTAAAGCAAGGATTTTTCTTGGAATTTCAAGGAAGTCCATGAAACCTCTATGTTGTGTAAAGGAGAGTTTCTAATGGAGGAGGATCTTACCAAATTTTCACAGGGATCTTTCGAGAGTGGGGATTTTTAATATTAAGGTATATTTCTTCCCATCATTCTGAAGTTGGACGATTTTAATAAAATGAAGAGACACTGCAAGATAGGATTAGTTTTGTAAACAGAGGAAAGGAGGAATCTGCTTTCTAGAATTTATGTTTTCTTTTGGGGGGGAGTAGGGCAGGGGAAGCTGTATTTGGTAGGCAGAGCCAACTGATTTTAACAATTACTCTTTTTATTCTCATGCTCTCTACCCAAGTTCAGTCTCAGAGGATAATCTGAATACAGTTTCTTTTCCTTTTTTTTTTTTTTTTTGTTGTTGTTTAAGATGGAATCTTGTTATGTTGCCCAAACTGGTCTTGAACACGAGGACTCAAATAGTCTCCCTGTCTCAGCCTTCCTAGTAGCTGGTATCGTGTGGCTGGCTATTGAATATAATCATTTTTGTATTATCTCCTGAAAAGGGGATTGGGAAGAAATTAAATCCACAAAATATCACCAAACCTGATCTTGACTAGTAGTATGGGGATTTCCAATTGTTTCTCAGCAAACCATTTACCAGTGATGCTAGTAAGAGCCAAATGCACTGGATTGAGTTTCTCTCTTGTCTCTTCATCTCTGATGGGTACTATTGACTAGGCAAAAATGGTCAAAAGATTTGTAAGAATGATTTGAGTGAAAATTGAGCAGTATTTAATTGGTCTCAGGAAGAATTACATGCACTGTATGTCACATTTTGGTTTCTTACTTAAAATGGAACTTTAAGGTTTTGAAGCAATATTAGAACCAGAGGATCTGGGCTTGGTGGCACATGCTGATATCCCAGCTATCAGGAAGGCTAAGGCAAGAAGGTGGTCTGAGCCCAGGATTTCTGAGCCAGCCTGGGAGTATATTAAGAACTTATCTCTTAAAAAAAATGGAATGGGGTATAGTTCAGTGGTAGAGTGCTTGCCTAGCATATGTAAGACCTTGGGTTCAATCTTCAGCACCATACAAAAATACAAAATAGTAAAATAAAAAGAAGCAGATAAATAGTTGTGCTTTGGATTAGAATTTTATCAGAGTTGGTTTGTGTCAATAACTATAATCAAGTATGTTAAAAAAATAAAATCTAGTATCTTACATGCAGAATGTTATGTGTTTGTGCATTTATTTGAATCATTTTTCTAGGACTGGGGTGTAGCTTAGTGATAGAGTTTAGCATGCAAAAGGCCCTAGGTTCAATTTCAGCATATAGACTCCAAATGATTTTTCTAAAATAGTGAGAAATATCTTAAATATTTCTGATGACTTTTTTTTTTTTTTTTTTGGTACTAGGTATTGAACCCATAGGCACATGACCTGAGCCACATCACCAGTCCTTGTTATTTTTTAATTTTGAGATGGAGTCTTGCTAAGTTGCCTAGGGCCTCACTAAATTGCTGAGGCTGGCTTTGAACTTGCAATTCTCCTGCCTCAGCCCTTCTGAGCCTCTGGGATTATAGTTATGCACTACCACGCCTGATGACTTTTTGAAAATTCATTATTTTGGCAAATATAATTTTTTTCTTTAAATTGAAGAGTTTATTTCATAGTATATCAACTTTTTATACACACACACACACACACACACATATATATATAACATTTTAAAAATATTTATTTATCTGGTTTGGGGACAGAACCCAAGGGTGCTTTACCACTGAGCTACATCTCCAGCTCTTTTATTTTTTTGAGACAGGGTCTTGCTAAGTTGCTGATGCTGTCCTCGAACTTGTGGCCCTCTTGCCTCAGCCTCCTGAGTTCCTGGGATTACAGGTGTGTGTTACCATGCCTGATTTAGTTTTATTTCTTATTTAACATACTCTTTTGAGCTAAAAAATGATTTTAAACAGTGATCTAATCTGAAGTATCTTAGTATATTTTTTTAAGTCCATGCCTTACTCCAGTGCTTCTTCATTTTCTTTTTGCTATTTTCTACCAACACAGTAGATTTGAGTTTTACATAAGTGGTTTATATCATGTTTTACTTTCTTATTCTAATGAAGTTGATTGGTTTCCCCAGGTTGAAATAACTACTTCCTTAGTGATTACTTATATCTAAAAACTACCTCATTTTTATAAATAAGGAAACTGAGGTCCCAAGAGGTAGAATGACTTGGAACTCTAACTTTGTTATTCTGTGCCCTTAACTTCCCTGTAGTACCAGTGTTGTCAGGTAAAATTTTTTACTTTTTAATCAGGTTCTCTTTGGACTCTACTCAAAGGAATTTAGTGATAGATATATCAGGCTGATTCCTCCTGGTGATGTACAAGTTGCCAAGGCTGGCCATGAACTTGCAATCCTCCACTTCTGCCTCCTGAGTAGCTGGGATTATAGGCATGTACCACTTCACTTGACTATTCTCCTTTTTTAAAGACTATATATCCTGGAAGTAATATAAATTGTCTAGTTTTTGCTTGCCTTTGAATAAGGGTAGTATGACCTAGTTTTAAAACTGAAGACTTTTCTCTAATTGGTTTCTGAACTACTGCTCTAATGCAAAACCACTTAAGGTCCAACAAACCTCATAAACTGTTTCAGAACTTATTATGACATTGTTGATATGAGTGCCAGCAGAGCCACATTATCTATATTTTACTTAAAAGAGGGTTGGTTGAGGGGCTGGGGCTGTAGCTTAGTGGCAGAGTACTTGCCTAGCATGCATGAGGCACTGGGTTCGATCCTCAGTACCACATAAAAATAAACAAAATAAAGGCATTCTGTCCAACTACAAAGAATTTTTTTTTAAATGGGGTTGGTGGGGCTGTGGTTATAGCTCAATGGTAGAGTGCTTGCTAGCATGTTTGAGGCACTGAGTTCAATCCTCAGCACCACTTTTAAAAAAAAAAGTATATGTCCATTTACAAGTAAAAAAAAAAATTTTTACCATACGATTTATTTTTATTTTTTTAGTCATACATGACAGCAGAATGTATTTTGACATATAATACATACATGGAATGTACATACATCAGTCATATTGTTGATTCTATTCTGCTGCCCTTCCTATCCCCCCTACTCCTCTCCTCCTCTCTCATCCTTTCTCTCTATCCAATATAATGTGGCACACTTTTTTTTCTTTTTCTCATCACAACATCATATATGTATTCTGTATAACAATGAGGTTCTCCTTTCATCTTCTGTGCAACTTCCCTTCTCCCTCTTTTTCCCTCCCACCTCCCTTCCCTATTTAGTGGTAGTCTTCTTCTCATGCTCTTCCTCCCTATCCCATTTTGATTGTCCCCCTTATATCAGAGAAGACATTTGGCATTTGTTTTTTAGGGATTGGCTAGCTTCACTTAGCATAATCTGCTCTAATGCCATCCATTTGCCTGCAAATGCCATGATCTTGTTATCTTTTAGTGCTGAGTAATATTTCATTGTGTATAAATGCCACATTTTTTTTAATCCATTCATCTATTGAAGGGCATCTAGGTTGGTTCCACATTCTAGCTATTGTGAATTGTGCTGCTATAAACATTGATGTGGCTATGTCC